TGGGGAAAAATGGAAAATGTTTGTCAGCGGCCTACACCCTGATCCAGACTGAGAAAGGTATTGATGATGATGCCATGCTTTGCAAAAGTCATTTTTGCAACGGCCCCTTTTCATTTTCATTTCTTTTTTCTCTATCAGCGACCCCCGAATCACGTAAAAAAACAACAACCCAACACCATAACAGAATCAATAAACCTAATTTTCACACGCCAAAGAGAGTTGAAGGAGTTAAAGTTAATTTACGAAGGAAGCCAAAGATGAAAATGAAATCGACAAAAAGCATGCGGGCATTTTTGTTTGCCTAATGTGCGAGTCTAGAATCTATGATGATGCCGAATCTGTGTATGGTATTTGCTCGAACTGCTTTACGCCAGAAATACTGTCGAAACTATCTAAGACGGCCGCGCATTGTCGAGGAGAAAAGTGGTTGTAGACAGGTGGACGTTTTGTACAGTGTCATTATAATGTAAAAATCACACGGGTGGAAATGGGAAGCGGCTGTTTGTACAATTTAAAAAAAAAAAAAAGGTGGCCGATAGAGCAGGTTCAACTGTATTCAAATTTAATTCAGTTTTAGACTAAATTCGAGACCACCAAAATGATCACTAATGGAAAAAGCCCTAATAATAGGCCACGGATCACGCTGTATTGTTGTTCGATCTTTTCTTTTTCCAGATGTCCGACATTCTTGTCCATGAGACAGGGCTGTGACAGGGAACGCTTCGTTGCACAGAGACTGTTGGCTGTTCACGAGCATTGTCTGTTATCGGCTGCCTCAAGGTTTAAAGACGGAGATAATGTGTCCTCTCGAACATCAACTTTGTTGATATTCTTAAAGTAAAAACAAAAACTACGATATTCTTAAACAAGTAGGAAACGCCACCCACTCTGCCGCTTCTTAAAGAAAGTCGATCTACATTATATAGTGACAGTTTCTCTTGTTGTAATCACACCAATCATGGAGCAGATCTTATTCTAATGGATACACTGAACACGTGGTTTAGTAACCAAGTCATGTGGATGGGTGAGCTAGTAATTTGTCTTTATAATTAGTACCCAGATACAAATTTACAGACCGTGTTGCTGCGCAGATAAGTACTATCTCGTAAATGTCCTCATTAAAGCTAAGTGTACTGTGAGGAACCTTTTATTTCTCTAGAGACCAGACGTTGTTGTAACCGAATTATTCCTCATAAAATATAATAATATTATAACATTGTATTTATGGTGGTATCGCGTAAAGCATAATGGTGACATTCCTGAGGATGTTGTGTAATAGGAACAGACTTGTGATGGACATATTGCTTGTCAGTGGTTGTTGTGCGTTGATTGTGTTGCCTCACTGTTTACCAGGATCTCCAAAAGCTGACTCTCACCCTCAGGTTCAGCCATGGATTCATCATCATCATCATCAGCAGCAGCAACAACAACAACAACAACAGCAACAACAACAACAACAACAAAGACTACCAGAAGCACATGTACCTGCACCCCACAGGCATGCTGAAATGTTTCCCTTTTCACCCTTTCCATTTCAGCGGTTTTCGTCATCAGTTACCAGAGATTCTCTGGGAGCCGACCCAAGGCGCTCTCATTCTAAAGAATCAAAACAGCCGCCTCGATCTCAACGTAAAAAGCCGCCAGCGATATTGTCATTGTCGGCACCATCTTCACGTGTCTCACTGCAGAAACAAAATACCCAACTACATTCTTCCTCCTCCTCCTCCTCCTCTTCCTCCTCCTCCTCCTCCTCCTCCTCCTCCTCCTCCTCCTCCTCCTCCTCCTCCTCCTCCTTCTCGTCCATCTCTTCCTCTTTCTGTAGCTCCAATTACAACTCCTCCTCCTCCTCCTCCTCCACCACCTCACCGTCATTATCTTTATCTCATCGGCATCGCCATCCTGCATTCTCACCACAACATCATGGTCAACGACCTCCACCCCCCACACCACACGACAAACGCCCACTTTTGGCCCCAGCACTGCGGAACACGCCTATTCGAGAGGCGTTCGTTCGTCTCATGAATCACCTCCACAGCCTCCCAGCTCTCAAGCACCAAGTTCCCCCGGACGCCGGCCCAACAGGCGTCTTAACGGTTGGACTCTCCTTCAAACCATTTCAGGTCAGTCCGCTCTCTTAATCCTTTTTTTTTTGCTGGGAGCAAACCTTGTGTTATAACCCCCCCCCCCCTAAAAAAACCCCAACAAACACCCTTCCTCCCAAAAAGGAAAAACTGAGGGAACAAACACAATCAATATAAATAAAATAAAAAATTGTGTTATTTTTGGGTAAATGTTTTTTGGCGTTCGCAACTGCATAAAGTCGGTCATAGGAGCGCGCGGGACACAATGAACATTTTTTCAGTTGTTAGGAAATTGTCTATTTTGCCCGGGGGCGGCTGAGGTCTACTCTTATCGAATTTCGACCACCAAGGGATCTTTCACGTAAGCAACTTGCACTCGGGGCCTCCGAAATTTTTCGCCCTTTGTAGATCTTTCCTACCATAAGATCAGGGTGTGTGGCTGAAAGACAGCAGTAAGAAGGAGCCGAGAAGAAGCCGTAGAAAGCCTGTAGAAAGAGTCAGGAGCTCAGAGGAGGGAGTAACGGAGGTGAGGGAGTGGGGGAAGAAAGAGGAGACAAAAACAGACGACAGAACATTGTTAGAGAGCAGGAAAGGAGGTGAAAGGAGAGAATTACAAGTAATTTAGAGAAGAAAAATTTCCATCACTATCCGGATTCGAACCCGGGACCTATTGAATGAGAAGCGAACACCTTAACATCTAGACCACGAGAGCCCTCCATGAATGAATGAATGAATGAAGGTAAACGTTAGAAGGTAAAAGGTTGTGTATTCTGGCATCGTTTAACTTAAGATAATACCTTTAGATCTCACTGTTCAAATGACGCCGCGACACAACTTTGGACATAGACAAACTGCCTCGTGTGCACACCTCTTGTTTTTGTGTAGGCTACTTGACATCGCGATCTCTCTACAGTAGGTGATTGGGAGCCTTTGTCGTTTGGCATTCTCTAACATTTCTTGTAACTGATTTTTACACATGTTTTGTCCAACTCTGTTACCTTACAGGATTCAGTTGTGCCTAAGAATTTGGTTTACTAGTCACAAAAATTGTGTGTTTTTTTTTTCGAAGACGAAGTTATTTTTGAAGACGGAAAAGAAAAGAAAGGGGTAGAGCGGTGTGTGTGTGGGGGG